CCTAAGTGGTTTCATCTGCTCAGTGAAGTAGGTAATCAGGTCTTTGGGGTCTTCTGCTGAGATTAAGGGGGTCAGTGCTTTGGAGCTTGAGGCAAGAGATGATTCAGAATAACTGTTTTGGGAAGTTTGCTAGGGAATCAAAGGAGATGAATGAAAGGATTCGTTCTGCAACGTCCAGGACACTTGATGCTGGATGGTGTGAATTTGTATTGGGCCGTGGTTTTTTTGCTGTTTTCTTCCCGCAGTGCTTTGCAGGAACAAAGAAAGTGAAAATTAGAGATATTCGGGCTTAAGGACTAATAGAGCAGGCAGGATGAGAGGTTAAGGGGCGCAGAACCCGGGATGATGACAATGGCAATTTCGAGTGTTGACTGCAGAATATTGAGCAACCATGTGTCAATTCATTAACTGCTAAACACAGCTGCGTGAGTGAGTCCAGGTGAAACCAGCAGAGGAACCATCCATCCAGCCCACAGAATTGTGAAAAATAAGAAATCATTGTTGTTTAAGCCCCTAGTTTGGGGCAGCTTGTTAAGCAGCAATAGAAAACTGCAGTGCTCTGCCGCATGTTGACTAACTGCAACAGGAAGCCCGAGGGAAGGGGACTGGGCAGCAGCAGAGGTCAGTCCCTGGGGGAGATGGAGCAGAGTAGAGAAGAAAGGAGAGGGATTCTGGGGCACACAGAAAGTATCCAGTACATTAGGTAAAGTGCGGGTTTTAGAACGTGAGAGCAGATAGGGCTTCCTGTCTTGAAATATGGGTGCCTGGAGAAGCCAGTTGTGGTGGTAGTGACTGGTAGGTAGAGCCCAGAAGCAGTTAAGGTGGTCTTTGTCTTCCTTCCCATTCACTCTCAGCACAGGGCCTTGCCTCGTACTACACAGAGGAAAGAGAAGTCTTCATGTGGGAATTTCTTCATCACCCATTCCCAAACCACAAGCTAGGGTCACAAATAGGAATTGCACGATAAGACTTGAGGTAAAAGATGTGTCACATTTCTTTATTTTCCTAAATCCAGTCAAGTTCCGTTTCCCTCTTTGCCGAGACCACTGAAAAGTGGCTCCCTCTCTTCCTCTGTTGTTTTATGCTGGGTCCCCAAGTCTACTGCAGCCTTTAGGAAAAACAGGCACGAGGAAACCACGGTGCTGATGAGACGTCTGGGCCTGAAAGCAGGGGCAGCATCCCCTCCCTCAGTGCCAGGCTCACCACAGGGCCCCAACCACAGCATCCAGAGCACAGGGGAAGAATGGCGTCAATGGGAGGGGATGGGTGAGTTAGCAGGCTAGTTTCAAGGTGCACAGGGTGATTGCTTGAGTTACTGTATTATTCTTTAGGCCACTGTGGATTCATCAGCAAAGAATCTTTACCTTTTTCTTATATCAGTCAGGCCTTTGTGTTTCAGGACTAGAGAGAAAGGTTCCCTGAGCTTGGAAGATGTCTCTCAGGCTTTGTTTTCTGTGGTCCACTCAGGCAAAGGGAGACAGTCTAGCTCCATTCACTCAGAGGAGAAGAGCACGGTGAGGGTTTTTCAGAGGGAAGTGGAGAGAGGCATTGGGTAAAATTTCCTGAGACTGCAAGGAAGAACCTGAACCTCTCACAAGCAGCAGCTCCCAACTGCGGGACCTCAGATGGGATGGCTGTGTGGCCGCTGAGCACAAAGCACCTGGCCCAGCCCTTCCCACCTCCTCAGGAAACCCCACGCTCAGTTAACCATGCCCTCATCAGCCTTCTTTGCACTGGCTCATTCCATTAGCATCAAAGCATGCTCGCATCTTTCTGGTCTTACATTTTTCAAATCTTCGTGACAGCATGACCCCTTCCGGACAGCCCTTCCTTTCCTTCACTTCAAAGATCGTCCTCTTCCACCCATGCAGTTGAATTTCTCCACCACCTTCAACTGAAACTCCCCTTGTCAAACATCATAACTGATTTCCTTCTTTACCAAATCCAGTGGACATTTCTCAGAACTGAGTGACTTGAGCTCTCAGCAGCATCTGACACCAAGGGTGACTCCCGCTGTTTTCCAACCCTTTTCCTTGGCTTCCACGACACCACCCTCTCCTGGATTTTCACTTACCCTCCAGCTCCTCTTCTCTGTGTCTAATGCAGGTTCCTCTTCCTTAGACCATTGCTTCACTGCGGCTACTCCTCAGAGTTCTTCCTGGATCCTTGTCTCTTCCAGCCAGTACACTTCTTGGAGGAGCTCTTCTGCTCCCATGTCTTCTGCTCCCAGACCTGTGTCTCTATCCAGAGCTTTCTCCTGTGCTTCACACCCTTACACGTGTCCAGTCTGCAGTTTGACGTTACCCAACTTACAAGTTAGTAAGTTAGCCTGTGACTGTTTCATGGGTGTTGGCAGAAGACATGAGACTCCTGGGTCAGTGACAAAGGACTTCATTTAAATAGTTTAAAGTTTTGCGGAGAGTCAGAAGGGGGATTGATTATGTTGCTGACACAACGCAATGTAGTTCTAATTTTTTCTTTATGCACCTCTCTTCTCAAAGTCTTGACTCATGATGGCTATTCCCTAGAAAAGCACTGTCTGGTAGCCACCTTAAAAGAAAGTAAAAGAGAAACAGGTAAAATTAATTTTAACAATATGTTTTATTTAACCCAATATGTCTAAAATATTATGATTTCAACATGTGATCAATTTAAATATTATTAATGAGATATTTCACTTTTTTCATACTAAGTTTTTGAAATCCATGTGTATTTTACCGTTACAGCCATTTCAATTCAGATCAGTGCCAATTCACATGCTCCACAGCCAGGTGGCAGTAGCGGCTACCATATTGCACAGCACGGGCCTCGAGCTTCTCTTTTCCCCAAGGCGCCTCCCTGAAATTCCAGCCTGTAAGGGCCTCCAGGCCTCCCTGTCCTCCTTTCCTGCCCTCCCTTCCGTATGGAAGTTAACGCAGCCTTTGTTTTGGCCCTCTGATTCTGGAGTTTAAGTGGTTCTCTGACCCCCATAACAGAAGGCCTGGAAGGTTATGGAGGGGATGAATCTGTGAATACTTTTCAAGTCATATTTTGTGTCCCTGCCTCGTTTACTATTTATTCTAACATATACAATAGCCACTCTGATGTCACGACAGCATATTTACCTCATTGGTGTTAACCAGTCTCCTGGGACATCTTTAGGGACGTCTTCAGAGAAAGTATAATCTTATAAAATGTTTTTAGTTTCTAGTAACACCATAAAGTTCAGATCCTGCCTAGATGAGGGATATGGGCATGGAAAACAATGCAGGAGCCTTGAGACTCAGGTGCTCAAGGAGATAGGAAATATGACTGACGTGAAGACATGGCATGTGTAGTTGGCTCTCATTTATTATGAAGGAAAATCAATAAGTGAAAATTAAGAATCTTCCACAGTTACTGATTTTAGGTTTTTCTCTCATTTGATATTCATCCTACAACCTTCTTATATAAAGAACTTAAAAGTTCTTGTTTAAAATGTTTTCTCAGGGGCCGGCCCCGTGGCTGAGTGGTTGAATTCATGCGCTGTGCTTCAATGGCCCAGGGTTTGGCTGGTTCGGATCCTGGGCACAGACCTGGCACAGCTCATTGGGCCACGCTGAGGTGGCGTCCCACATAGAATAACTAGAAGGACCTGCAGCTAGAATACACAACTATGTACTGGGGGACTTTGTGGAGAAGAAGAAAAAAAATTTTTTTCTCAGTAAAATAGGGAGTAAATATAATACTACTACTATTATCCAGAATGGTAGAGAAATTAAATATTCTAGTTAAGTGAATATTTGTGAAATTAAATTAACATTCAAATATTACAACTTTAATTTTAATAATTTCAAGTGGAAATATTTAATAATCTATTACAAATCCCCTGTTTTAGCATCAGAGAGTCCTGAATATAATTTATCCTTTTCATAGGTTATTTGTTGAATTAAGTTACATTATTATGGGGGAGGGGGAGGATAGGATATTTATTAAGTGGCTACTCTGCCAAGAGCTGTGCTTTAGGCTATGATAGCTTATATTGTTTGATCCTTAGAGTCTTCCCAGCCCACTTCTGAGTATTTTAGGGGACACTAGGTTTTGCCTGCCTGGTGGGCTTGTGCACCCAGAGACGAGCCTGCACATCCAGCAAGTTGCAGAGCTGATTTGAACCCTAGTGGCTGACACCAGAGGCCATGCTTTTAAGTCTCTGCTGTGATGTGAACTTCACCACAAACCATCCACATCTTACAGATGTGGAAACTGAGGCTCAAAAGAGTTAACTATGGGGGCTGGCCCCGTGGCCGAGTGGTTAAGTTCGCGCGCTCCGCTGCAGGCGGCCCAGTGTTTCGTCGGTTCGAATCCTGGGCGCGGACATGGCACTGCTCGTCAGACCACGCTGAGGCAGCGTCCCACATGCCACAACTAGAGGAACCCACAACGAAGAATACACAACTATGTACCGGGGGGCTTTGGGGAGAAAAAGGAAAAAATGAAATCTTTAAAAAAAAAAAAAGAAAGAGTTAACTATGGGGCCAGCCCCGTGGCTGGTTAAAGTTCTCTGTGTTCTACTTCAGCGGCGCAGGTTCATGGCTTCAGATCCTGGGTGAGGGCTTATTCCACTCATCAGCCATGCTGCGGAGGCATCCCACATACAAAGTAGAGGAGGATTGGCACAGATGTTAGCTCAGGACAAATCTTCCTCACACACACACAAAAGTTAACTAACACTCAAGATCAGCTAGTAAGTAGCTGGCATTTCTTTTTCTTACTCCCCCCTCCTTTCTTCTCCTTTTCTAGAACTTTTTGATTTTACCCAAGCAGGGCTTGCCTTTGCCACTCAGTGCAAACACTTCTTTCTTCTCTCTTTGGTTCACTTGTCTGCCTTTGCCTTTCCCCGGAAAGTGGCCTTTATCCTCACGAGGCAGCATGTAGTGAGTGGCTTTGTTTGCTGTGCTGCGTCTGCTCTGCAGTACTTTGAGGAACATAGCCCTTGCCTTTTCAGAGTTTACATCCTGAAACTATTGACTCCTCTTTCCCAGGGAGATCGGAACAATCATCAGGTCATTAGGATGCTGCCCTAGCGAAGGAGAGCTGCATGACCTGATTGCAGAGGTGAGTGGGCTGAGAGCTTCCGTCAGCAGACTGTGCGACTCCAGCTCCTTGGAATTAAGGAAAAATCCTTACCTGACACTAAAAATGCCCTAAACTATGTGCTCAGTGGAAACATCAGGACAACTATGCGAATTAGCCAACCAACAGGACTTGAAAGAGCTGATACCAGATCTTGAAGAAATGGCTATGACCAAGTAATGCGAAGGGTCGAGTGAGGACCCTGCTTTAGATATTACGCTTTTTAAAACTAGGTGAGGAAAGGCCAGTAGGCACAGGGTGCTGACTCACTGCGGAAACAATATGGACAGGAGAAAGGAATATCGTAGGTAATGTCAGTTCAAAGGGGAGGGAAGCAGAGGTAGAGATGGTAAGGAATTTATATTTATTTGGAGATATAAAACTAAATTTTAGAGCAAGTAGTAAACATAATAAAATAATAAGAACTAACTTAACATTGATCAAACAGTCTAAGAATTTAAAAACATCATTATTTGTAATAGTGTCGATGAGTCCCTGGAGAGAATTAATCCTATAAAGCAGGGCTGAGCTGCCCAAGACTGGAGAGCTTCATGCCCTATTTGGTTTTCCAGAAAATTATGTGGTATCATTTCAAGTGCAGCTTTCAGTTCAACCAAGCAGAGGCCTGAAGGGGGAAAAGCCGCCTGGGCAACCACGAACGAGGAGGATCTTCTCAGAATTGCTTCTGTGGGGCTGTGGGTCTCGGTGGAGGCCAGGGATCAACAAGGAGGATGAGGGAGGACTACCGGGAGGCGGGATCGGGTCTGTTCCTTGTTCCTGGCCCCCAGCACAGTTCATGCTTGTTGAGCGTTACACGGAAGAGAAGAAGCCGTGATGCACGGGTTTGGGAGTTAGCCACAGTAGATACTCAGGCCCCAACATTTTCTTTTGTCTTCACCCTTTTCTTAGGTACATTGATCAACCTTTGAAAACTACAGATACTTAGAATCGTTACAGACCAACAGGGATCACTGAGCTGTCTAAGCTTTGTAAATGTTTTTCTGTACTTGCACAGCACAATTTATTCAAAATAAATTCTAGCAAGATGCTTAAAAAGCTTTGGGTGTGACTACCCTTTTTGAAGTTTCCCAAATAATTAAGGGGAAAAAGCACACAGATATTTGTGTGTATCCAATACATTTAGAGACTCCAAGCTCCGTAATAGTCCACATCTGGGGCGAATATCATGTTGCTAAAGGCTCTGTAATAGTTTCAGAAATGAAACCATTTCTTTCATTTGCTTTAAAATCACATGATGCGACTATGCTTTAAAATTCTTCTATAAAAAGTGGAAGCCTGTGTGCAGTTCTCTAGTTGTCATTGACTTGAATTTTAGTGTAGATACATACTAACTTTCAGCCCTTTGCTTCCTGAAGATCAGTTTGAAATCTGATGTTTCTCCTGAAATAGATTATTTAAAAAATCACTCGGCATTCATCTCTCCAGTTAATGTTCTATAATTAGCAACTTTCCCCCAACAATCTCTGCCTGTTTGGAATATCACAAAACCCAGCAACTGTGGGAAAGGGTAATGAAAATTGTACTGACATACAGGTCACCAGATGATCCTTCCTTTAATATCTACATGCTTTGAAGTTCAAACCTAAGTGGAATTATGGAGAATTTGAAGTAGTTACAAAGGAGAACTCAAAGATGTTTGGAAAATAGGCCCTGTATTGGTAAGACTATTACATTACACAGTGATTTTTTTAAAAAGGGGGTCGGCTCATCAGGAAAGTATAAAAATCCTGAATGTTTATGTACCTAATAACACAACTTCAATAAACTTGAAGCAAAAATGGAGAGATTAGAAGGAGAAACAGACAGTTCCACAATAAGAGATGGAGATTATAATAACCCTCTCTAAGTAATTGATAGAACGATTACATAAAGTATCAGCAAAACTGCAAAAGACCCAGCACCACCATCACCCACTCTGCCCTAATTAATATTTATTGAACATCATACCCAGAACTGCAGAATACTCGTTCTCTCCCAGTCCATAAGGAATGTTCAGTAAGGTAGAGTGCTAGGCCACCAACCAAATCTCAATACATTTTCAAAAACTGAAATCATACAGGATATATTCTCCAATTTTAAAAAACGGAATTAAATTAGAGATCAGTTGAGAATAAGATAACTAGGAAATCCTCAAATATTTGGAATTAAGCAACATACTTCCAAACGATTCATGAATCAAAGAAGAAATCACAAGGGGAATTAGAAAATATTTTTCCCTGAATGTTCATGAACGTACAACATGGCAAACGCCTTGGGATGCAGTAACGCAGCTCTCAGGGGACAGTTGATTATAAAGAAATGTTCATGATAATAGCCCTAATCATAATAGCCAAAAAACTGAAAACAACCCAAATGTCCATCAACTGGGGAATAGATGAGTAAATAAATACTATGGACTACCTCTCTACTCAGCAACAAAAAGGAACAAACTAGTGATACCCACACAACATGGATGAATCTCAGCAAGAATATGTTAAGTGAAGTCAAACACGAAAGACTCTACTGTAGGACTTCACGTATGAAAGCAGATTAGTGGCTGCCTGGGGCCAGGCATTAGAGGCTGGGATCAAATGCAGAGGAGCAGGAGTCAACTTTTTATATTGGAGGAAATCTTCTATATCTTGGTTGTGGTGGTGGTTACCTGACTATAAAATTAATTCAAACCAACACTTTGAAATGAGTAAACTTTATTGCATGTGAATTATGCCTCAGTAACACTGTGAGAAAACATAGACAAGGATTGTCATGAACAACTTTATGCTTCTTCAGTCAGTGGGTTCCAGATGGAAAATTGACTCAGGTTTAGGAACTAAGAAGGGATCACAACTCTTTTGGGGTGGCCATCCTCAGCCTTCTGCTCCTCCATTCTTGCCCTGTTTTGGTTGTAGATGTTGAACAGAATCCTCATTAGTTACCTGGCTGTTTTGCCCGTAAGCATACCACGCTCTATTAACCATCTCCAGAGTTTCCTTTGGCTCCCTCTTCAACCTTACTGGTCATTATATGTGAGGTCTTAGCTTGTCTGGTTGACAACTCTGCCTGGCTTCTGTTACTTGGGGGCATGGGGTGGGAGGCTGGCAAATCATGTTAACAAGCCAGGTCTGTGACTGCCTGTTCTAGTCCGCCGTGGCCCGCAGAGGAGACCCATTTCAGAACTCTCAGTGATGCCAGCCTTTCTCACCAGCACATTCCTGATGTCCTTGGTGAGTGGAGCATCCTCTGAGCCCTCCCATGGAACATCATCCTCTGTGGGTTTTCTGACTCATAATATATCCATTCCAGCCAGCCCCCTTTTATCAGCTTGGCTTTTCTCCTTCACTAAGTGCTGACAATTGCTTATCACAGGGGTCTAAGAACCACCCTAGCAGCGAGTTTGCCCCATCTTCTGTCATCCTTGTCAGGGTGTCAGGTCCTGTGTCCTGAGAAACTGCCCAAAGTCAATGAATTCTTGCTCACTCAGTCTTACATTATAGCTCTGGGTCAAGCGCTCTCAACCAGTCTCAGGGGCACTCCCCCTGCTCCTTCTAGTTCCTGCTAGCTAATTCCTCCTGCTATTTCAGTGTGCAGTCTCTTTCCTCCTTTATCCGCCCCAGCACTTCCCCAGCCAGGTTTTCTAGGATTTAATCCAAGTGTTCAGTCTCCCTGCTAGGAGAGGAGATGGGGGCAGTTCCTGAGGGGGCCCTGTTCCCTTGTCAGGGAGAGTCTTCTGCAGCACAGAAGTGTCACCTCCTACGAGGTAAGGGTGGGTGAAAGCCCAGAGTGTCCAGGGCGTCTCCCAGACAACACCCTCAGGGGCCTCCACCCAAGGGTCTCCATCCTATGTTTCGGTGTGCCAGTCTTTGCAACCAGCACCCTGACTTGGCTGTGCAATTCTAACTTTCATATCTTCTGTGTGAAGGGTGTCAAACTACGGCCCACAGGCCAAATCCTTCCCACAGCCTGTTTTATACAGCCTGTGAGCTAAGAATGGCTTTTACATTTTTAAAGGCTTATAAAAATAAAGAAGACTATATGATGAAGACCTTATATGCCTTGCAAAGCCTGAACTGTTTACCATCTCCCCTTTCTGGAGGTTTACCATCCCTGTTTTCGATGATGCCTACTGGAGTCTGCTCTTTCCTCGCAGTTGATAAGGGCTTATTCATGAGCTACAAAGAGGCCCTCTGGCTTTCACAGCTAGTCTTTACCTGCTTGACAGTGGCCCTCATTTCTCATGATTCTTCTGCAGGACATCAGCGTAACTTACAGCCAACTCTGCTGCTTTGTGGGCCTTGTTCCCCCATGTCTTTCAGATGCTTGAATCATGGTACCTGCAAGGGCATTCCTCTTTTATTTTATTTTTTTATTGAAGTAACATTGGCTTATAACATTATACAAATTTCAGGTGTGCATCATTATATTTCAATTTCTATGTAGATTACCTCATGTTCACTACCCGGAAACTAATTGCCATCCATCACCACACACATGTGCCTTTTCCTCCTTTCACTCTCCCCCCCCCCTCCCACCCCCCCCCCCCCCCCCGCCACTTCCCCTCTGGTAACCACCACTCTAATCTCTATGTTTATGTATTTATTTGTTGTTGTTTTGATCTTCGACTTAGGCATTCCTGTTCACTGAGATTCTCCCAGGTCACATCTGGTTGAATCTTCAGCAATGGACTACCAGAGACTGTGTGTCCCAAATACCACTCGGGACAGCATCCTTTATGCCTACTTTGTAGTGAATGAACCTGTCTCAGAAATCCATCTTACCACCTGTTTTCTCAGGCCACTCCTGGCACTGCCTGTGATGCTCTGGGTACTCTGAGAAGCAAGCACTAAGCATTAGATGTTCGAGAGATTTATTGTGAGAGGAAAATCAGAGCCCGGGGAGGCTGGGAGAGCATCAGGATGCAGTGCAGGTCTGAGCCTGTGAAGGAGCAGGGTGGGGAGGGAAGGTTGGGGAGGAACAGCCTTGGA